CGCCTCACCACCGACGCCACCGCCACCGGCAGCGGCGCGCCCACCGGCGACGCATCCGACGCCACGGAGGACGCGGCCTGAGGCGGCAACTAGCAGCACCCAGAGACTGCGGCAGAAGCTGCGGCATGGGCTCAAGCTGTGAGGGCACAGCTTTCAGATGAGGGGGAGGATTGCAGCAGCGGCAGCAGCAGGCGGCACCCTGCTGTGCCAGCTGCGAGACAGCAACTGAGTCTTACACTCTCGCTACTTCATTCTACTCACAACTGCATGATTGATTGCGCTTATCATGCCTTGATCGATCGACTAGTCACCAGCCATGCCTGGCTGGCAGCACTACAGCACTACCTTTGTGCGACTATATAACCGGAATGCGGGTCATTCCGGGGCCTTTCTCTCTTCTTTGTAACTGACTTGACTTGACTGGCCGCAGCCGGGCTCCGGCTGCTACTAGACTTCGACTAGACCCGCTGCCTACTCTTACAGGCTGCTGGGGGCGCAGAATGTGTGCCATGTTCTTGCCGCCATCTTGCAGATGCGTGCGCTCTTCGAGGTCACGGCCAGCCTCTTGATTTGCGTCGCTCCTGTTGCTGTACGGGGCAGAGATCTGGGCGCCGCAGCTGATTCTGCAGGGTAGGACGGCATGCGAGCGGGTACAGCTGGAGTACCTGCGAGGGCTGCTGGGTGTGCGGGACAGCACCCCAGCCCTCATAGACACGCAACCCCCACAACGTGGTGGGGGACGTGGGGATCCTTAGCAGCTTAGGCCTGCCAGGCCGACGGGTGCCGATGCTGGTGCGGGCTCCCGGCGGCAGGCAGCGCCGCCGCCGGGCACTCAAATGGCATGGGGCACATGGGCCCCCATGCCCGCACATCTCCCAGGCACATGAAAATACCAGAAGGCTGCACATGTAAGGGTGCATGCATTGCAGGCAGGAGTGCAAAGTGGCCTGCCGCGGCGGTCGGCTGTGCCATTACTCAGTCAGCCGCCGCTACCGTGCCGGGCTTGGCGTTCCCATGCCAACATGCCGGCGTGCCATCGCGCAAGGGGCCAGTGAGTGTGTGAGGTGGAGGTGGGGGGTGGTGGGGCTGCCGCTGACCGCTGCTTGCTGACGCTGACGCTG